GTTCGGCGTCGCGTTTTCCCGGGTTCGGTTTGGAGTCGTCTCGTTTCCCAATAGAAACCTGTGAAAGTCGCTTTCGCCGGGTTAATCTCGTTTCCGCAGCCGCCTTGTGCCACAATCGGATCAATTCCGGTTATATTCCTCGTGTGGGCTATTTTAAAGGAGGAAAACAGGACGGAAAAGGTATCTATAATTTGACGTCGGCGAACTGCTTTCCACCTCGCGCGAACCTTCCTTCGAAGTTGGATCCTATCGATCGAGGGAAAACGAGGGAAGAGAGACGGACCACGACGCCGAGGCGTTTTCGGGGCTCCAAATGATCGATGGAGAAGAGTTTCTCTTCGGGACGGGAATGACAAAACGCTTCCATCTGGGATCTGACGCGTTGATCCCCCCCGGAGCATAATGGCGGGGATTTGCTCGAAGAGCACCTGCAGGCTCGTCGAGCCCTCCTAGGCCGAGCGGATTTCAATCGGTGGATTGCCGAGCCGAGATGCTTTCCCCATGCCGAGACGACCGAACCCATTGGACGCGAGACGATGAAACCATCGGACGCGAGACGATGGAGCCCTTCCGCCACTCCCGAGTGGAATGCGGAGGTCGCGGTACGGGGTGAGTGGCTTTCCCTCTTCCGAGACGTCGGCGAGGGTTCGTCCGAAGGCGAGGCGGCGGATGGTAGAGGGTGGAGGATGGAGGGCGCTTCTTCGCTCGGCCCACTTGGGGCCGGGGAGACGGTTCAACCCGCTGGAGGTGGGAATGGAGCTCACGAAAATGACATGGATCGGCGGTGCGTGGAAAATGAGATGGGTCTCGTGTCCGAGAGGGCTTTCGGAGCCCCGTGGACCCGCCGCTGCGATCGAATCGAGCCTGTCGACGTCTGCCGGATACGATTTGAAGTTTTAGCAGACGCGCGTCCGCGGCGCACGTCGAGGCGAACTGGGGTTGCCACTCTTTCATCATTCGAATGGACGGAACAGATTTCTGATGAAATGTACACTTTGCAAATCTGGTCTTAATGAGTCCGCTGTTTTGCCCATATTTTAAATTCGTATGATTTTTTTTTTTTTGAGCCAAGCTTAACAGCAGCTAAAATCACTCTTTTCTGCCAATCAAATAGAAGTTGGCCACCCTCTCATAGTATCGATCGGTGCCTTGACTTAAGATGGCCGTGGGCACTTGCGGCAATGTCCCATACGCAGGTATACCTCGAATTCATTCGAATTCCAAGTTCATAATCCTTTTTTTCATATTTCGTTAAGTTGAAAGGTGGCAACCCTAGGGCGAACGCAGTCGAATTTTGCCGCTGCCGTCGGTGGAGCGACGGAAAAACGCAGACGAGAGACGCGTCTCGCTCCGGACGCGCGCGAAGCCTCGACGGTTTCCATCGGAATCCGGCGCCACGTTTCCTGCATCCGTTCCGGTTTCCGGTGGATGCCGTGACGACCGGCAACGACTACCAAAGGAACGGGCAATCAAAATCTCAGATGATACTTTCCGGATTTTTGGGATCTGCTTCGCCTCCGGATGTCGAGATTTTACGCCCTTCGAATAAAATTTATTTAAAAAAAACGTATTTCCTGAAGCGAGCTCCCCTTCGTCCCTCGCATGACCCACACCAGATGTCTCCCGTGTCCCTTTCCCGTTCGTGCGGCCGAGCATGAACGCCACCGAGCCAGTTTCCGGAGAATTTCGTCTCCGGGAAGAAACGAGGTCGCTGTTTCCAATGCAATCTCGTGCGGAAAGAGACTCCATGCGAAATTCCGTTGCTTCCTCGGCCGATCGGTGGAGGTCGATGCTGACGTCATCGCGACGCCACGCGTCGTCTGCTCGCGGACTCGGTCAGATCGGTCGAAAAGATCGTCTGCACGCGATGCGCTCGATGGGAGGTTGAATCCTTGGGCGAATCGAGCGCTTCGTCGAGTCTCCGGGGCGAAACGGGAGCCGACGACCCTCGTCTGCTAATTGGGCGTTGTCGGTTAATCGCGGGTAAACACGCGATGCCATTATGGGAGCAAATAAATCTGAAGCATGAAAGGTTATCGCGGCTGTTTTGCGGTTCAATGATTTTTACGCACGATGCTTCCTCGTACCAGCAGTACCAGCGTACCAGTAAGATAATTGCAATCAGTACTAAGAAAGAAAGGCTAAAGCGCCACGATCCACGATACTCCTCGCTGTTCTCGTGAGGCGAGATCGAAAAAAGAAAAAATAAAGAGGGAAATCCAGTGAGAGGAAGGGCTCGAGGGGAGTCGGGTCCGAGGGAAAGGTTCTCACCTGATGAATCCGGGGGGCGGGCGAGGCGAGGGAGGAGACTCGGGGGCCTGCACGGTTGGATCACGAGTGCCTGGAGATCATCATCCTCTCTTTCCTCTCGGGGGTCTCTCGAGTCGGATCATGCGGGGTGAGGGAGGCTCCCTGCACCTTCCACGCAGGGAGGGGAGAGGAGGAGGAGGTTCCTTCGGGTGGGTCTGCTCCTGTCTGGGTGAGAGCTGCGATTGTAGGTTGGGGATGGGGTGGGATCTGGGTGGATCCGGTGGTTCCTTGAGGGGGTCTTGCCCTTTAGGAATTGGAATTTCGGAACCGGAAGGTGGTGACGTTTCGGTCGGGATGGCGGGGACGGCTGGCAGAAAATGCTCGGGGAGTTGGTTTTCGTGTTCCCAGCCGGGGGGAAAAGACAGGAGTGTCTCGATGCTAAAGCAGGACGTCACCTCCGAGAAGATTTCAACGCAATTCCAAGTTGCAGATCTTCATAATCCCTCGCTTCCCTTTCCCTTCCTCTCTTCAGAGACTAAAGAGGAAAGATCGCCCGAAGTTTCCTATCAACTGTATAACCGTAATCCCCCGTGGGTTTCATTTTAATAATCGAGACACACGTACGGTCGACGAGGATGACGAAAACGAAGGCTTTCCGATCATCCGGAATGAATTGTTCGTAACGAGGGCGTTTTCCTAAAGGCCCATTAAAACGCAACGTTGCGATTTGCTTCAATTCTTCCCATTTGACACCCACTCAAAAACGAGTCACTAGCGAAATGGGATGCGAAGAGCGAAGGGAGAGGACGGGTGGATGGGGCGAGGAAGTGACGACCTGTTCGTGGTTCTCGATCAGTTTCCAGATTTCAAACTTAAAAAAAAAACGGACGAAATGTTTGAAATGCGTCGAGTTTATCGCGTCTGTGGGCTGTGGCTAGAACTCGAAGTTCGAAGCAGTCGCAGTCCAAGTATCCCTGACCGCAAACGTTAACAAGACGCATTCATCCGGAGATTAAAGAAAAATATATGTTCCCGACCTGCTTCGATTCGATTCGCCTGTTTGCAGACCGTCGTCTGTATCGATCGAATTTTCAACGCACCGAGTGCCAAGTTTCTCCACGTCAGATGAGTGTGAGGACTCTGGCACCTCCTACAATCATCGGGAGAAAAAAGAAAACATGGAGTTGAAGGCAGTTTGAACGATAGAATCGTTTAAACCGGGACCGACGGGGCGCATCGACCTCACGATCCGCCCAACGTCCAATCCTCCACTGCACGAGCGGGAAAAGGCGGACGACATCTCCATACCCTTGCGAGAGACATCTAGCGCGGAACGGGAGGTTGCTTCCGGCGCTTCTTCGGGGCAGGGGCGAAAAATCTCTACCTTTACCCATGCCAGAACGGTAACGGTTCGCCTCTCCCACCAGATTTCCTTTAGCCAGACGAAGGGGCATTCAAGTCGAGTCCATCGACTAGTCTTGATCCTTTCGGTCGTTCTGCAGGGACACGACGAGAATATTGAAGGGCGTGTTGTTCCATGCCTTCAGAAGCATCCAGTCGTTTCGCACGAAGGCCGGTGGCCTTGGAGAACACTGCGAGTGGGCGGAGTTTCGGGTTTCTTGCGTCACTTACTGTGCGAGCGGGAAAGTACCTTGGGGAGTAAGGGCCATTCTGCGCTGCGATTGGAACCTTCAGGGGTCCCTGGATTTATCATTATTTATGGCTTTAAAATGTCATGGGACATACTGTATGAACGTCTATTTCCTTCCACTATCGGAACCATTCAGCACTGCTATGGCAGCCAAAGTTCTTGTATGTTGAGATTGTTGTATGTCATGCCCATGGCCTGCAGGATCACGTACAAATACCAACATTATCCTACTTATCGAAAATTGAAATGGATGCAGACGATCATCCTCAAAATCTGGACACCACACTACATTGCATACACCCAGAGAACGATCCGGAAAAGCTCCCTACGACAGTAACCCTTCCTCCTGAGGTTTTTTTTGTTTTTGTTTTAGCACAGGCAAAAAAAAAGTCTAAAAAGCACACTCGTGCATGGTTAGAATGCAATACTGCAGGTATACCTATCATAGTTCCACTTGTATTTGGGGAGAGTTCTTGATATGAGTGTAAAAAAAAAATTATTCGAGCATTTGAAAGTAATTAAAATACAGTTAACAATCTGAAGTATATTTAAGTTATAAAAGCATTGCTACATTGTTATATTAACGAATATACATTTTAGGATACTCTTGCTCACCTCTGCATGGCCTGTAGTCTCACATTCATAGGCGTGATCCCATGATTTTGGTCCAAGAGTTTTGGACATCTAGTCTCGGCTATGGATAGCATAAATTAGACTTTCTGAGATGGAAATGAATCTTCTTCATGCAGAGTTTCAAGCCTGAATTCATTCCAAAATATAACATCATCAATCAGATTGACACTATGCATAAATCTAGTTGACACAACTGAAATGGATCTGCTGCTTCAGCAATGCATACTGATGTCTTTTCAAAACTGTAATAAAACTTTCATGAGAGACAGCTGTATTCCAGCAACGAAAAAACTGAGGTTTCCCAATAGCAAGAGAAACATTAGCTATGCAGAATGTATTCCAAGTTACAACACAGTGCAGATCTTAGCTGGCATACGATGCCAATTCTCATTACTATTTGGTATGGATTCTTCACTTACAGCTTCGTTTATGAAATGAGCATTCCTTGAAAAATCTTTATGAAAGTGTATGAAAAAGGATCTATGAAAATGTTCCATCCATTTGCAATATTAAGCTCTCCAGGGTGAGATTATTTTTACACATCAGTTACAGAGGTGTCCTGATCCAATTCGACCTCGTTCAATTTGTTTGTTTTACTGGAATAGTTCACAGGGTGCACATCTGACATTTCCACGTCGTGACCGGTTACGACTCCCCCCGGGCTGGTCGCAGGGACGGTGGACTGTCCCTTCAAGTGAACCTTCTGGTCCTCCACTACCACAAATGCTATCTCATTTGTGTCAATGCCATGGTCCTTGAACATGTGCTTCTTGAGGCTTTCGGATCGGATGAAACCCTCCCGACACAGGCTGCACACGTACGGACGCTCTCCGGTGTGGATGCGTTCGTGGACGCGCAACTTTGCATACTCCTTGAAACACTTGGAGCAGTAGCTGCACTGGAAGGGTCTTGCATCGCTGTGGGTTCGCAGATGGTTTTTCAGCCAGCCGAGGATTGGGAATTTCTTCCCACAGACATCACAAATGTATCGAAGGTCTTCTGTGTTGGAGTGGACACCCCTGAGGTGCACGTTGAGGTTGTCCCTGCCACTGAATCGTTTACAGCAGATTTCACATTCATATGGCTTGGTCTGCCTTCCGAGATGGAGCGCGCGATGCTTTTTGAGAGATGATGCATTTGCGAGACCCTTCCCACATAGGTCACACCTGAAAGGAGTATCGCCAGTGTGACTCAACATATGCAGCTCCAACTGCTGGACCTTCTGGTAGGATACACCGCATTCTCCGCACTGGTAGGGTCGAGGAGTGTTGTGAATGTTCTGGATGTGAATCTCCAACCAGTATCGATTCTTTACTTTCCGACAACAGATGGGGCAGAACTGTATATCTCGCTCGTGTCTATCCAATCCATTCAGGGAGGTGCTAGTTCCTGATTGACGCTTCTTTGGTCCCCGCTTTCCACTCTTTGGTACTTCACCTGAGCACATTTCTAGATGAAGTTCCATACAGCTAGAAAAGATGAAACAATTACACCGTTCACATGGAACATGAAGATCCCCATGGAGATCTTGCATGTGATCGGCCAGCTCCTCTGCCGATGACATTACTTTACAGCAGGTGTCTACTGGGCAGGTTGGTCGAGATCTGTGCTCTTGACCAATGCCATGTGCTGTGCGCATGTGGCTGGTCAAAGTCTGAACCTGTGCCCCACATAGTTCACAGAGGACCAAGTCCCTCCGTCTCCTCTTGGAATCTACTTCCCCTTCTTGCTCCTCCTCTCCCTCTAACTCTTTCTCTTCAGATTGTGTTGAGCAAGTGTGAGCCTTTAGTTCTGACAATATTGAGAATGATGCAGAGCAATTTTGACATTTGTACTTTCTTCTGGATCTGTGGGTGACAAGGTGCTCTTGCACTCGCTCAATCTTGAGGAACTTCTTGTTGCACACATTGCAAACATATGGAAAGCGCACCTTCATCTGGAAAAAAGGATAAAACAAAATTTTTTAATGAATTGATAAACTTGTGAAATTGACAAGTGAAAATCAGGCAGTTTGGGTTTACCAAACAATTAATTGATTAATGAGAGTTCACAAATGAAAAAATCACACCTCTCAGCGCAGGTCACTGAATGGATACATGAAGGGCACTAAGCTGAAGTATTAAATGGGTAATGTCTTGCATGACCCATCAGGACAGAGGCAGGAAACACTTCAGACTGTCTAATGATTGGTGTTTCTGGTAAACTTGTTTGGTGTTTTGGTTCTCTTTTATATAGATTTCCATTTATAGCATAATATACCTAATTTATCAAAAGTCAGGTTTTTTTACAAAGTTAAAAGACAAAGAAAGAATGACAAGTTACAAGAGTTGTCATAAACCAGACAATTTATGAGAACTATTTCCATTAATAAAGTTTAACCTATAATAATCCATGGAGACCTTTTCCATTACTGATAAAATCATAAGCTTATGAACAATTTTTCCCTATCCCTACCCTCTGAGAAAGATCAGAGAAAGGGCTAAAGGAGATTCAATAGCAGAGAAGGGTTTACTGCTACAAACTTAGTTAATCATATCCAAATTGAAAAAGTCAATTCCAGGTCTAAACAGCACTTCAGGTTATAATCCTCTTGATTTTAGAGAATAGAGCTTGGGAAATATGAAATGGTCATTAGTGTGAACATCAAGGGAAGAAGTTGAAAGCCCATGTCTTTCTGATATATAATGACAAAATTTTGATACATGAATTGTACAAACACTAACTGACAAAATTTTACATGCCAGTATAACAGTATCAAGACAGATAGAATTATATTTCACATGATTTGAACTCAGATTTGGCTTCTCAGTTAAATGAATATTACATATGAGCCTCCAAACGAGAAGAGGTCTCACTGAGATGTTAAAATTTAAAAGATCAAACACAATTTAATGTTTAGCATCATGTAGCAAGGATACAACTTTCACAATGTCTTGTGCTTGCAGTCCTATTGCTAGTTAATTTCTTGTAAGCACTGTGTGAAAATCAGGCATGGAAGGCTTGTAGTTGTTTCATTGTTGGACTATCAGAAAGTTGTAGGCATGCTTTATGGAAATTCAGTAGAAATATGAGATGTGGGCTAGTATGTTTATGACTGAGCCAGAGTACTAGGTAATTTTGAGCCATGAAGAATGGGTTTTGGGGATTTTTTAAAAGGCAAAATTCTTTCTTTTTGCAGGCTACATGGAATGTGATTCACCAAAAACCTCAGAATCAATGCATCAGTAGGCTTAGTGACATGCAGTGAACCTATGTTGTTTCCCTATCCTCCTTGCCATGTCTCTACTGCTACATATAGTGTAGAACAGGGGAAGTGCAGTTGCATGAGATCCGCCAACCATGAACTGAGACTGATGAATGGGAGGATGAGGCAGGGCCAGGCAGAGGGGAGGGCCAGGGATTATCTGGGATTATAGGAATGATGCCAGGGAAAAGCGTCTCACACACCTGCATGCTTCTGGTGAACCCTGGATTGTACCAGATGCACCAGGATATCTTCACAAGACAAATTTCATGCAGTGACTATGTCCACTTGATTACAGTGAGTTCTAGCAAAAAGTAGAGCTGGCATTTACTTTGAGATCCTGTATTGTATGGAGCAAGAAGCATCCAATAAGAAACCAGAGAATCTGCAAAAGCCCTCTGATGACAGAAATAGCCTCATTGGCAAGGAGGCAGATGCAGGAATGATTCGGCCTGACAAACAATAATCAACTACTGCCCTTTCACCTTCATCATCTTGAAACAGACCTTTGGATCACCTGAGCCTCCATGAGATGTGGCTTTCTCTATCTCTTCAAAACTTTTAATTTTGTGGCCAGATTTCTCTAGTCCTCCAGTTTCTTCTTCATCCACTCCTCCAGAGTAGTGGCTCCAGTCCTGAAGTATGAGATCTCGAGTTGAATTCCATTCCTTCTTTCCTCCTTCACCTGCAAGCATGAGGATTCAGTCATTCCAACAATTCCAAAAAATAAACTTAATAATAAAGGGTATCTGGGGTCTGTGATTTTAATCAACTAAAAAAATCTCTATTTGGAAACATGTGAAGAGACAACACCTGACTGCAAATGCTACAAACCAATTTGACATGCAGAAACAGGCCTTTTATAAATATAATAGTTAAAATAGTAAGTTACTTATATTTCAAGATCTATTGACCCCATCCATGTGCACCCAAACCATCACAGAATCTAGAGCTACAAAAACTAATATCCTTCTCCAGAAACCATTAGATGGCAGAGGCTTCTGGGTTCTTTTGAAAACAACAGATGACAGCAAAATTAGGAAATCATTCCAGTGATTATACGGCAAGACAATAACAAGTAGGAAAAAAAATCATATAAAATGCAAGAGATCAAATATGGAACAAGGTTATCACAAGGCTATACTATACGTGATGTGCTACATTATTAGGTCATCATTTTTATTTATTTATTATTTCAAAATAAAGTGTGGAATAAGAGCTTATTGAATAGGGAAGAGGTGCAACAAGATAGGAGAGAACTGTCATGACCCACAGAAGGCCTATGAGATATACAGAAAACATTAGAATATTTAAGCTTTTAAATTTCCAGTTATATATATATATATATTTTTAATACCTTTCCTGCACTTATACTCCCAAGCGCAAGATCATGCTGCTTTGACTTTTCCAAGTGCACAGAACTAGAACATCCAAAAAGAATAGTTCACTCATGTTCTCTTGCTTCCTCTTCATTAATAGCTTCTTGCTAGAAAATGCCTAACTGATATTTTTGCTTCTCCTAATTATGAACCATGATTTGAACATTCTATTGTTTAAATGAAAGACAAGGGTAGTCAACTCTTCTGTTTAGGGGTGTGCAGAAAAAAGTAAATGACAGAACTGACAAAAATGTACAATATATATTTTTTCAATATCATCTCAGAATTTCATTTTTCCCATGTTTCAGCACTAGGTTTACTGTACTTCATACATATCTGGTACCATCACAAGAACAGTAGCAAGAAAGGTTCACCTTAATCATAAGGTATTTTAAGAGCTACATTAATTTGCCTATTCCTGAGTGTATATAGGTTATATCTGATTGGTCATTGGGGAGGGGAGGAAGGTGGGGGTTTGTTCAATTGGTCTACCTTTATTTGCTGATGACAGCTGGCCTATCATTAACAGTCTTGAGGGACCAGTAAAGCCTTATGCACACTTGTAGTTCAAAATTCAGTCAAGAGTCCACTCTGCAGGGAGATGGCAGTCATGTGCAGTTATTCTTTCATCTCTCTCTCAATGCAACCATGTCATCTCCCTAAAATCAAATTCTGTCTAGTCAAGGACAGTATGGGTAATCCTTAACATGGATGTGTCTTGCATGATGCTTTCAAGATGTCATCATAGTGAACTGTGTTATACTGATACATCATTGGCAAAATAATGTTTCCTACTGGTATCTCCATAACTTTTGCTATATCCCTGACCATGGACAAGCCTATCATAAGGTTCAACTGAATAAAGGGGAAAATCATTGGCAAAATAATGTTTCCTACTGGTATCTCCATAACTTTTGCTATATCCCTGACCATGGACAAGCCTATCATAAGGTTCAACTGAATAAAGGGGAAAATACCATAAAAATGAATAAATCTAAATTACATAGGAAGGAAGATGTTCAAACCTTTAGCTTCTTCAGTTGGGGAGGCTGGGGCTTCAATGTGGACACCAGATAAGGATTCTTCTTTCATTTCCTGAATTTCACCTTCCAAGGCATCAACCTAAAATAGGTTCCAAATTTCAAGACAATAAATATGATGAATAACATCTGACAGTATTTCCCCTGTAAAGGTAAGTCAGAGTCAGGGTGTAAAAGTGGGTAGGCCACAACTCAAGGTCCTTTTCCAGAGAAGAATGGCAAAGTTAAATGTCCAAAATTATGTATGTGTAGATGTTGCTAACTCAAAAGAACTTCAACCAGACATAGCTATCTCTGGATTAAGTATGAAGAATGGCTTATATAAGTTAAACAAAGCTGGTAGAGTAACTAAAGTAGTCCTATACACACCTCTTCCAGATCTTTGTCACTCAAGATATCAGATGTGATTGCAACAGTGTTGCTGTTCTTCTTCACTGCCATAACTCTGAACCTTTGAGATCCTTCAGATTCACCACTATCATCCAAACACCCTCCATCTTCTAAATCTTGCAGATTCTGCCCACCTCCACGAGATTTATCAGCATTTTTGAATAACAGCTTCAAGTCATACAGCTTTTCCTGCAATCAATGCAAGACAAACTTTTCTGGCTGCAAAATTTTCAGAGCAATCGAAATGAAGGAATGATCATGCAGATGCCATAACTTGAGCTCTGCTAAAAGCACTCACCTTGAGTTTGCATTCAAAAAAGTCGATGTCATTAAGGAGGGTGTAACAACTCATGCATATTGACAAGATAATTCCTTCATCACCAAGCCATCTTACTCCAAGAAGATCCTGGAGCTTTTCACTCAGTTCCACATTGCTTACTTCAGTGTATCTAGCATGCACTGGAACGAACTGGTTCTTCTGTTCGTCAAATTCATTACAAACCACACAACGAAGGTCTCGTGCTGTCATATTCAACATTTCACAACAGGGAACATTCACTCTTGCAGTTTGTAATAGACAGCCAGGATCAAGCTAACATAACAGTCAGAATGATCCAGCCAATGCAATGTCCACAAACCAGTCATTTCTCAGGATCATACCTCAACCAGCATTGAGGGTACATACTACCTGACAATAGAACATAAAATAATGATGAATGAAAAAAGACCATGATAACTGAAATAAGTCTCATAAAACATTTAAATCTCATTATTGTTAACACTCTGATTCTGCAAGTTTTCTGGATACAAAATGAGTAGTCCTAGCATGTGAAAGTCACAGACTAGGCATAAGCTAAGGTAATCTACTGAGCTGCAATCAAAGACAAAGATTTATTTAAACAGTTAATCTGATGACAGTTCAACATAACATAAAATTAGACCTGTATGTCACCAATGAGCAGCCATTGGGCATTTTCATCTTCCAATGAAGCTTTTTAGCTATGGCCAATGGTAATGCCCATTTCAAAGATGATCTTATGACATGAACTCCTGGTATATCACTTTCTTTGTGCTTTAAACCCTCAGGATTAAACTGGGAGAAAACTGATACAATGGAAACTATTGATAATGGTCACCAATGTCATTCCAAAGAAAAAGCAGCAAAAGGGTGTTGACACAAGGGCAGGTGTGATCTAGTATTATGGGAGTGGGGCATCAGCTCTCTCAAGGCTGCATGGGGCTAAAATAAACAGAATATGTCATAAAGATAGGACACTGTTACTTAACGAGGCAATCTTCCTCAATGGCATTGTGGAGACCTCTTTACTGGAAACTGTGTTTAACAAAGATGCCTACACTCATGATGTCATCCAAATGGACTGATGCTTGTTAATATGGACTTCAATGCCAGACTATGGCATATAGTGACATCAGACCTACCTTCCATGGTTTGGGGCCAGCCTGAATCTTCATTTATTCTATGGTTCACCTGATAAATACCACTGGGAGACAGGACAGGAAAAATAGCTAGGCTTGATAGAGGTTGGTCCTTCCTTCTGTCAAATATGCCATGATGCAATGAAGCCAGCATCTCATCAGGAGCCCTCCATTGGTTTATGCTCAGATGCAAGATTTGTCACACATTGATCCAATTTTTCTAATCACTTCTTCATTTTCCGTCCTTAATATATAAGATTTATTTTAATGTGTTTTCACTTGACTCCAACAAACTTGCATGGGAAGTGTCTCAGGCAAGGGTGCCAGAGAAAAGTGAATTGAAAACATTACTTAAATGAGAAACATCAAGTTTTCCAGTATAAACAAAACAAATTAAACTGAGGAATGACAGGAGCAGAAACTATGCTTATATACTTTACAAAGCAATGCTTTCCCACAAGGAGTCTTTTATGAATAAGGTAAAGGCTTGATAATCAGCCCAACATGACTTGAAACATAAAAGTAACCAACTGAACTACAATAAAGATATGCATTTAGGGCATTTCTTTGCAGTATACTGTAAGAGTATGTTTTTGTTCTTTGTCCACTGAGTATGGCAAGTTTACATTTTTAATCTTCTCCTCCTTTGTTTTGGTTTAATAATATATTTTTCCATTAACATTTTCTCATGTTTAGGTTTAATATCATATTTATTTACCCAATCAGCAAATATTGAAGAAAGGAAAGACTTTTTTCTAATAACTAGTGGTCAGGGACAGTCTCCCTTCTGAGACCAAGTCCAGTTTCCCAATGATATCCCATAAAGGTACCTTTCCTGGCCAGAGTGATGTTAGGCCTAATATTAGGCCACCAGCTGCTTCATTCTGACAATAAAAGCGTCCCAACACACTTCTTCATTGACAAAACTTTCATATTCGGGTGTGCTACATGGACATCAAGTCTCTATCACCAAAGGCAAGATTGCACTAGTGCCCACGATAGTGATTTCGCAAGCAGCATAGAGGCACGATTGGCAAATGCGCCACAATTCTCGGCCTATGCCTAGGGTCGAGCACATACGCCAGCTTTAGGTAAATACTGAATGTGTAGCCTAAATCAATTCTGCGAATGAGATAGCCTTAAGTCTTACCGATCCAAAAGAAGACACTGCAATCATTAGACACCTCATGGCTCACTTGTAGAGCTAGGTTGCTTCCAGGGTGTTTTTTGGGCAGGTGCATAAGGTAATGCGACGGCAAGGTAATACATCAGGTCAAAGATGGATAAATTGGAGACCTATTTCCCTACCTAGGCCTACATGAGCATGATTTTTTTTGCAACGATCTCGATGTTCATATTCATAACAGCAGCCATTTCTCTGAAGCTGAGAGCAGAGTTGCCAGCAGGGCTGCCACGCACTAAAATGGAATGGACCTAAACCAGTGGGGAGTGAGGGGGAACCTTCATACCTGAAATCTAACTATAATAATTATAGGCCTTTATTAAGCAGGGAGAGGAGGTTGTAAGAGCAATCTCACGACAAAGGGAAGGGGATGTAGCTGGGGCAAAATCATGCTGAGGCGGGGCAAGTCGGGTGAAATTCACGCCTTCGGGGGAGGTAGGAGGAGCAAACACACACGGCGATTGAAACGAGGAGATAAGAGTAGAAGCCCTGGAGAGAGAGAAAGAGCCTGGCCAACCTAGGTCACATATTTTGGCACATTGATACTGACCTGAGGCTGACACGCAAGGGCGCCATTTTCGTTCCAGCTACTGCATGAATCCGGTCCACGAAAAGGACGGGAAGTGGCTTTTCCGCGTTGATTGTAGAGCAATAATGCCGCGTTATGCATATGTGAAACGCTCAAACCAGTCTGAACAAAGTTTTCGACTGTTCCTATTTCCAATAGACGCCCGGAGATCCCTTTGGGCTGCGAAAGTGAAACGTGAATATTGGTAGCCTTCAGATCGGTCTCGCTCATGAGGTAACCATAAAATTAAGGGTGGATTTTTGAACAGAGAACTATCCGATAATGCAGCTTTATTTCTGAGAAAATGCATTATAAATCCGGTAAATAAAGCAGCATTATCGGATAGTACTCTTCAAAAATCCACCCTAAGTCTTGCCAATCAAGTAAAACCTCTGCGGGGCTCGAAACAACATTGTCCCAGCTATGAGGGGTTGATATTTACGTAAATGCAGGTGTGAATTCAGGTTGGACCAATGAAGCTGAAAATAACTTTATTATATACAGGGTAGGGCAAAAGTCAGGACAATTGAAATTTTATTATATTTTGTTATATTTAGTTTATTTATTAATTATTATAAATATAATTAAATATAAATTATTAATATTATTAAATATTAAATTATATATAATTATAAATGTATAAACAGCTTACATACATGCAATATTCCTGGTTTATCTTATAAGGAATAAAAGCAAAATATCATTTAAAATTTTAAGTGTATCATGACTTTTGGCCCACCCTGTATATAGTTCGTGAGTGACTGATGCTGTTTCCAACCATGTTCTACACATGGTAGAAACTTGAAACTTGGTACACATATAGCTATAGGGATGGTGAGTTCAGAAAAAAAATCGACTTTGCAGGTACATGCCCTAAGGGCACATTTTTCTAGGAGGGGGGGAGCGTTCGCAAAGAGATTTTTTTGCTTCAGCTAAACAAAGACACTCTGAAAATTGAAATTTCGTATGAAAATACTGGTGGAAATACTGATTTCAGGAAGTCTTCTTTTTCAGATGCAACCCCTGGGAGTATATTTCTTAAGTGGGGGCAACAGAAAATTTTTCACTACAACGAAACAAAGACCCAGCAAACATAGTAACGTTGTGGGAACGTTCCCCCAGGGTCAATACAGTGGCATCGACGTTGAAGGTTAAAGACCAACGTTGCGTGAATATTGTTGCAGTGTTATGGCATTATGATACCTTTTTAAATCGCATTTTAAAATAATATTTATGGTAGATTCATGGAATATGCATCGCCAAATAGGGAAAAAAAAATTTTTCGCAAAACGACAAAGAACCTATCCAGTGTTACTACCCCATTAATACCAGATATTGGGTGAATGCTGGACCAACGATGGCACGATGTCTACATGCATCTTGCCATTATTGCCAATACCGGCTAAATATTGATTTCCCAATTTTGCCATTTCATCATCGATGCAATATCAGATTGACGCGATGATCCAATGAGCCCAATTTCCACGGAGGAGTTAATTTTAAGGAAATGCTGAAGTTCTCCTCTTGCCCATTAGATGGAGGTATGGGTCTCGCTTTTCGCATAGTACACGAAGTACACTTCCCTCTTTCCATGGAAACATCCCTCACAGGAGTGTTTATTACCTCACCATATGTTTTTCATTGCCTCATTATAACAATCAATAAAATCGGACACTTCGGCATTTGGAAAGGAGAATTATTTTTCCGCTTTCAGTGAAGGAAAGGAGGATTTCTGTACTCCACAGAGCAAAAAGGGGATTGCTGTTCCCTGTAAAGTACTAAGGTTAGTACTTTCAGAATAATATTTAATCCATTGCCTTCATTATTGACCAATTATGGAATGCTACAAGGGTGGTAGTGAGGGTTCAAATAAGTGACATTGCAATGTTGGCTCAACGTTCAGCCAGTGTTGAACTTCAACGTTCATCTGAGTGTTCCAATAAGCGACATTGCAATAGTGACTTAATGTTAGCTGCAACGCCAACCAAACACTGGGAAGGTTCAAAATTAACGTTCATACAACGCTGATTGAATGTTAGTATGTTTGCTGGGGGGACTTATAAAGCTGAAATTTCATATGCAAATACAGTAATTATTGAGTTCCTGAGTTCAGAAAAAAATTACTTTCTAACATACGTAGGCGATCGTAAGTCTTCCTCGTAGATTTATCATTTTATCTTCCATTTTTTGCTCATTTTTACTTCAACCTGTAGAGATTTCATTTCAGCATTATTTGTCAATAAGAGACCTTTTCGTGGTAAAAACTATACTTCAACTCATGCCAGCTGAGAGCTAATCACCTTTGCTCATTATTCCAAACTAGCAGAGGTACCCGACGTTGCACGGGTGAATACTTTATAGGTCCCATATTTGTCTGCGCTAAATAAGGTACCCGGGGCAGGGCCAGATTTAGGGACAGGCGACCGCCTGGGGGCAGGGAGCGTCTTTGGCGGCCGGCCCTGTCCTGGGGGGGGGGGGGTCCTCATTTTGAAACGCCACTTAGCCTATGACCATCCCCGGACCAAATGAGGAAGCCATGCAAAGTTTGGTCGGACTGGGATCAGAGGCGTGGCCGTGCATAAAGGACAGACAGCCACACAAACGTTCAGAAATATAGTATAGATACAATTGCTTGTATCACATCTGAATCATATTCACTGCCACAACAGAAAACAGGAAATGTAAAATCGATTTCCCAGGAAGAGATGTTTAAAGGTGCCTACAAAAGCATGAAATAGGAAAGCTGGAACTATTATTTCAAAATAGAGAGGAAGAATTTTTAATTAAGTCATAATAAGAATGAAAAAAAAAATTATTTTTTCCTTATACGTGGTCGTCAGACAGACATCGGGAGACCCAGAGGGAACCAACTTGATGGGATTCAGTTGCTTTAAAAGTGGCAACTGGTTATAAGTACCTTCCGCAGTTTTCGTTAGTGTATCTCGTCTTGTGGAGACGGAATCCACCCTCTACGATCGTGCCTCAATTCAGGAAATCGGAGCGACTTAAGGAAGAATTGACTATAGGAGAACGGGAGGCCGTGCACTGTGGAGCGAAAATGGCGCCCTTTATTGAGGTTAGCCAGGCTCTGTCTCTCCAGGGGCTCTACAGTAGATAAGGGAGTTAGCATCTGCCCCTTCTCCTGTGTACGCCCTTGCTCTGAGCTATAGGTAACCGGGGGTTCATCTGCGAGAACAATAATCGGATATTATTGCAGACAGTTCCAACTATGGAACTAATGTTCTGCAAATTCCTATGGCGATTAGTTAACTCCCAGAACACATTTTTCAGTTTGAATTCGTATCCCTTCCCTTATGGAACGCTTCAATCGATTGCAGGTAGTGATATCTTCCATCATAGGTGGTTTCGGGCATTATCTTTTGGTTCAACGGTTCTGATAGACTGATAGTCTGATACCAGATCTGATGGATTGGGGCCCTCGCACGCGAAGCCGAGGCGACAGTCGTTCAAGGTTCAAGATTTGATTGGGACCTCAGCAGGCGTATCCGCCCATTATGAAGTCCCGTGTCGAGGTCGAGCTGGGGCTCGCACCTGAAAATAAACGCACTTCGCTGGGTTCAAACCCAGGTCCCCCCTCCACTATAGCCAAGCAATACCAATCAAGTCGTTCACCGGCCTCTCGAGTATACCACGTATCCGTGACTGCGGCGCGCATGCGGGAGATGCTTTTCCTGGATCTGATTGTCTTTTGGGGCGAAATGGATTGGTGATTTGGTTTTTCTTTAGGTTAACCCTTTCGTGGATGGTGTTCAATGTAATGGACGGCAAAATTTTGGCGATGATGTTGGGTTTCAGCCATGGCACACAAACCTCGAAACTTTTGGTGCATGAAGTCAACTCAAGGGCACATAATCAGTTTAGTGCTGCTTTCTAGCAGTGGAACATTCGACTACTGCAGCACAGTACCTCCTTAAACGTTAAACCCAAAAATACATTTTTTTGTTTTGCTTTAAAAACTCATGCACGAAAGGGTTAATCGGCTTGTCGAACTCGGGTTTAATTGTTTTTGACTTGTGAGTTGTCTTGCGTCGATGCTTCGATGAGTCTCATTTGTTTGAGCTCATGCTTTAGCATTTTTGAAATATGTGCTTGCGTAAGTCCTTACAGTCATCGGCGTGGCGTCGGGGGGAGGTGGCGCCAGAAAAAAAGAAGCCAGAAGTAAAAGACCCATGAAATGGATGATATACAGGGTGGGTAAAAAAAAACCGGTCCTCTACTTTGAAACCTTATATCTCGGTCCCAAATTTAGCTAGAATAATGTAACAAAAATGAAATGAAAGTTCATTTAATTCGCTTTCCAATGATATCAGTTGCAATTGAATTCCGCCGAAAAACACGGGAGATAAATTGATTTGAAAAAAACTTTCCGCTGAAAAAAGTTGAAAATCACGCTTTTTGGCTCAATATGGCCACCTTTCTGCCGAATAACTGCCTTCAATCTCCCTTTCCACTTGAG